AAAAAAATAAATAAATAAATAAATAAATAAATAAATAGATAAAAAATGAAAATAAAAATAAAAATGAAAAAAAAAACAAAAAATGAAAAAAGACTTCCTTAGATTTATACCGTTTTTGACCAGTATTTAATTTTGCTTTTATCTGCCCCACCTCTTCAATCAAAACATTTTTAGAGAAAAAAGTGGAAAAGACTCCTTGATATAGTTTTTTTTTCTTTGATGATGATTAACCATATTTACAGTGATTCATTTGTCATCCTTATTTTAGTTTTTTTCTTTCTGCAACACATTGAAAAGATTAAGACACTTATGAATCTCAGTCGGTTATCAGTTGGTCACATATTGATCGTGTATCAGTTTAAATAGAAACTGTCAAATGCATAACAGTTCGATGAGACAACTGAAAAACGAAGACGTAAAAAAAAAACTTTTTTTTGTTAAAAGAAAGAAAGAAAACTCTTTTGTTTTCAATTAAGAGTAAAAGACTAAAGCTTTTTTTTGTATACAATACAGCAGAACTGTGGAAAAGTGGAAATTCTGTAACTTTTTGTAGGTCACAAAAAAAAGAGATAGAAGAGGAACAAAATTCAGGGGCAGCAAAAAAAGGTTTCAAATAGAAAACAAAAAAAAAAAAGTGTGAACTAAAAAATTACATTTTTTTCTTGTTCTGTACTGTCGCAGCACAAATATACAAATGAAACTGCAAGGAGATGATAGAAAAAAAAGTGTAATTTATCCAGAAGACAAACAATTGGTGGCAAAAAAAGTGCTTTTTTTTTGTCTTGTTTTGTTTTTTCAATCCTCTACCACTAAACGCTGTGTAATGGTGTTGATTTCTTTGAGACAGAACAACAATAGATCACAAAGTTCATAAATACAGGTTAAACTTCAGAAACTTGCTGAATCGAGAACGAGGAGGGAGGAGGGAGAAGGAAAGAAGAAAGGGAGTGGGAAAAAAAAACCTTTAGTCGTTTGGGTACCAAAGAGTTTTTTAACGTTCAAAAGTAACTGCTGCTGTAACGAGAACAGTGCTGCAGAAGAACATCAAAAATATGAAGAGGAGGAAAAAAAAGGCAGAAAAAAAAGAAAGCAAAAAAAGAAGAAAAATAAAATAAAATAAATAAAAT